GGTCCTGTTTTGTCCTACAATTGCACAGTCTTGACTTAATGATATTTTTCGTGCAATAAGTACTTTCGGTAAATAGGGCACACTGAAATCGTTTCGGTCTGGTAATGCTGGTGTTACCTGCAGAAGAAATGCCAAACGCACTTACTCCGGAAGCAATTCTTAGAAATAAAACTTGTATATGGAGAAAACAGATTTGTACCAATGCAGGGGAAGCTGGCGCTGGTGAGGGGTGGATCGGCTGGGCGCAGCAGTGAGGGAGAGAGGGATATTCACATGGAAATTTGTCATGGAAATTTTTGTAGCTGTTGTCTTAAGTGCCTGGTTCAGACAGCTGGTAAATTGTCCATTTCATGTTAAGGCTAAGCCAAAGGTACTTTTATTAAAGGCAGAAAAGCATATATAAACGTTTGAAAAATTTCCTGTGTTGTTCCTAAATTCAGCTGTTAAAACCGGCATGAAATGCAAAGTAAAACCAAATAAACATATTTTCGTTCCATAGTGTTTTGAAAACAATAGAAAAGGCATGCAAATGTATTTTTCTTGGGTGAATGGGAAGTAAAATTTATGGACAATATCGCTAAGAAGTACCTGCTGATGTTTTCATGTGGCGAGACACTTTTTTTTGTGGGACTCTGCATTGTTTTTTCACATATTAACTTGCTGTTTATGGGGATAAAAGGCTGAAATCCTGTCTTTGCTGAAATCTGTAGCTAAACACGATAAATTCATCTGGCTATGGGCTCTAGTTTGTTCCCCTCCGTTAGAAATGCATTAGACAGGCAAGTGGAGCCCTACGAATGTGTAAGAGATCCGACGTGTGTTTTGTTAATGACATTGCCAGAATCCATTTACCGTTGTTATCCTCCCGGAGACTTAAAATTCCCAGTTGGGTACCAGCTCTGACAAGGAAGCAGATCTGAAAAAAAAAGAGCCCCTTTTGCTGTGGCATAACAGGAAGGTGGCACTTTCCCTTCTGCTGTACAGAAACTGAAGAGAGCTATAAGTGTGAGCGCTGCGGCAAGGTTTTTGCCTACAAGTACTACCGGGACAAGCACCTCAAGTACACTCGATGTGTGGACCAGGGGGACCGCAAATTTCCTTGTAACCTTTGCAACCGATCCTTTGAAAAAAGAGACCGGCTGAGGATCCATATTCTCCACGTTCACGAAAAGCACAGACCTCACAAGGTGAGCCTGCTCCTGGGTCTCCCCGCGGTTACTGGCTTTTCTTGGGGCACTAATTAAGGAGTCTTTTGGCCAAGGTAAGACGCTGATGTTGTTCCCCCTCCTCCAGTTCCCTGACAGTTCCCTGATGGGGACCACTCAGCCTGTATAGGAAGAGTTTGTCTTATGCAGCAGAGCTTAGTTGAAGAAATTTAATGGATTTATATCAGGAAAATAAACCCTACAGTATCAGTAGAAAAGAAACAATATTTCATTGGAATTTTGGATATTTGCATGTGGCTTTTGCTACTTTTCTTACACAGCATGGGGTTAAATTATGTTTGAAGGTGCTCCATTTGACCAGGAGCAGTCTCACGTCCCTCACTCCCCCCACTTCTCTCTGAGAACTGACAGACACCTGTGTCTGTTCAACAGACAGGAAAAGCTTTTATAACTAAATTAACAATATTGCAGAGTTAAATCAATATCACATTGATTTAAGTAACAGATGAAAAATATGATTCTGTTAAATATGAGGTTTAAAATATCCTGTTTTCCTTTCCTTTCCTTTCCTTTCCTTTCCTTTCCTTTCCTTTCCTTTCCTTTCCTTTCCTTTCCTTTCCTTTCCTTTCCTTTCCTTTCCTTTCCTTTCCTTTCCTTTCCTTTCCTTTCCTTTCCTTTCCTTTCCTTTCCTTTCCTTTCCTTTCCTTTCCTTTCCTTTCCTTTCCTTTCCTTTCCTTTCCTTTCCTTTCCTTTCCTTTCCTTTCCTTTCCTTTCCTTTCCTTTCCTTTCCTTTCCTTTCCTTTCCTTTCCTTTCCTTTCCTTTCCTTTCCTTTCCTTTCCTTTCCTTTCCTTTCCTTTCCTTTCCTTTCCTTTCCTTTCCTTTCCTTTCCTTTCCTTTCCTTTCCTTATTGTGGAATGCATACAAAAGAAATACTTTATAGAACATCAGGAAGAGAAACTTGTTCTTAATACATTGCATTTATATGGGAACAGATCAACTCAAAAAGCAAAGTTGGAAAATGCATCAGTAAAGAATATTACCTTCTTTCAAGATTAGCCATAGCTTACTTTGAATTTTTGATATACAATTTCTTTCAACTTATTGAAGGGAGAAAAATATCTTGAGGCTTATACAAATTGCACTGCAAGTGCAAGTCTCTCAAATTACTTCAGCCCCCTCAGAGTTGGGTTTCATCTGGTTGCTGCCAGCCGCAGGGCTCACATCACATGCCAGGAAGGCTCCTTGGGTCAGAGCACTTTTTTTCACTCCTAAGGAGAGCTCCTTCTGGCAGAGCTATAGGCTAAGTACTGTGACTGAAAAATGGTTATTTTAAGAGGTCTCAAGATTTTCTTTTTTTAAAGAAGTTTGACTTTTGAGAAAAAAGTAAATAAGGCGACTGGAGCTTGATTTACATTTTGGAGAAAAGTGACTTTACAAATATTTTCAGATTTTGATTACTGAAAGTCATTACTTTCTGCTCATGTTTGGAAGAATGGGTTTTAATGACAAAATTTTAACCACCCACAAAAAAAATACCTTGGAAATGTTGCATGATTTTCCTTTTTTTTAATAAAATCTCTTCTTAAATCAGATTAAAATACTGACTATTTTAAATTGTTACCACTAAATTACTACTGTGTTTGTGTATACATAAGTACAAAAATATGTGTATATAGATAAATATACGTATACATAAATGTATGTAGGAAAATAAATGCACACATCATCCACATACCTAATTTGTCTTTTAGCTATGCTGTTTTGTGCTTCTTTTTAATGTTATCCCTTTTTTCCCCTGCCAGTGCTCAGTATGTGGAAAGAGCTTTTCTCAGTCCTCCAGCCTGAACAAACACATGAGGGTCCACTCTGGGGAGCGCCCCTACAAATGTGTCTACTGCAACAAGGTGAGGCAGAGCCCCATTGTGTCCTTCATCTGTCTCCTGCAGCGCTCAGCATCACGCTGCACCTGGGAAAGGGTGGCTCTTTCCATGCTCTGTTTTATTTTATTATTTATTTGTTCCTGTTTTCTTTCAAGAAAATTATGTTTGTGTAAGTTGATAAACAGATGAGATGCTGCTAGATGAATATTGCTAGGGCTCCAGGTGCTATACAGTATTGTGCAATGCAGAAGCAGCATCACCGTGTAGTGATGTGCTTCTGATTTGAAGAGAGAGAAATTTTGGTTATGACTGGCTGGTCTAACAGAGTTGAAGTGTCCTGTAGTAAAGAACCTTAGAAGGAGCTCCTTTTGGCTGTTACTTTTTTTTCTCTCTCAGACATGCTGAGAGCTTGTAGGTAGAATTTAGGTTGAAATGTCACCCTTTAACTTTCCAATCACAGGAAGATGGCAGAGCTTCATAGACTGCTCTGTGAACAGATGTCTAGGATGTGTGTGACCCTTAACCAGCCTGGAGTTATCCTGGTAGGACCACTGCAGATTGGATCAGACTAAACCATTACTCCTCAGGCTGTGGGATGCAGCTGTCCTGGGATGTAGCCGTCATTTCTGTGGCTCGAAAACCAGGGGCTATTTTAAAGCATCCTCACTTGCTTTTCCTACACAGTCACGATTCCTCTTTGCCTCTTCTACCTCTGATTCCTCTTTGCCTCCTCTACCTCTAACAGTGACTGTGCTCCAGGACAGCTTTGCTTTCTCTGCCTCCTTGTTTGCAATCTTGGTGACATTGTGAGATTAAAGGATAAGAGTTAGGCCAAGATCACCATTCTGGCCCTCATATACACTTAGGCACTCTTGATATACACCTTCAGGGACTTTTCTACAGGAATCTCAGATCTGTGTATGGTCTAAGGTTCATAGTGAAAAGGTATCTGACATTAAGTGCTCTTTGCTGCAAAAACTTGTGGTGGTTCAGCAACGTAACTGTACTAAAGAGGATTTTTGTATGTGTAGTCTGCAAACAGTGAAGGTCCTGAAAGTGTTTATCTTGCGAAAAGAATAACCAGGGAAAGCACGTGCCACTTTGGAACATTCACATTTAAGTCTTGGTGAGAGGGCTTTCTATCCAAGGCAGGAGAAGTCTTTATGAGGGCGGCAGAGTGTGATTGTGCAGATTTTGCCACTTGTGAGAGGGAAAATCAGGCTGGAATGTCTGACTGAAGGAAGAGCAGAGTATGATGAAGAAGGAAAATGAAACCCAACATGGTGAATGATGCTAGACTGTCTGCACGATTGAATTCTGGCAGTTGAATCCCAAGCTATGTTAACATATATGTGGACGTGAAAGGGTTTAATTCTGAAAATGAACCTGTGTTATGTTCCTAAACCTAAAAGATCTGCAAAGCTAATTAGGACAGTATTGACTTTTATCCTTTAACACGTACAAGATATTTACTGGTGTGTTTGATCAGAAATCTTCCTCTGAGCTTCATCTAACTCCATGAACTCAGCTGTTTTTGTAAAGCTAAATGTGATAGCTGTTGGTTTCTGGTTGAAAAACTCTTTCCTTCCCTCTTTCCAACCCCTTGCCTTTTCAGGCATTCACAGCATCCAGCATCCTGCGCACTCACATCCGCCAGCACTCGGGGGAGAAGCCCTTCAAGTGCAAGCACTGCGGCAAAGCCTTCGCCTCGCACGCAGCCCATGACAGCCACGTGCGCCGCACGCACAGCAAGGAGAAGGGCTGCATTTGCTTGGTGTGCGGCCAGCACTTCCCAGACCAGGAGGATTACCACTTCCACATGAAGATGCACGCTGCTCATTAGTCAGGAGCCCCACGGATGCATCCCGGTCTAGCTCACATGTCTGTCAGTTGATGTGCATGTGTTTGTGAGTGGTTTTGTGCATGTCACAGGAGGTGATATTTACCCTCACAGTGACTCTTTGGGTACGTCCACTCTCTGGACCCTGGGCATATCTCGGGGAACAGGGGTCAGGAGTTTATCTTGCCCGGGTATCCTGATACCACACTGGGGTGAAATCCAACATGTGCTACCCCAACTTTCCCTTCCTCTCCTCCCATATCCTAATTTCCACAGAGGGGAAACACAGGCAGAGACTGCTTGGTGCAGTCCATGCTAAAGCTTGCGTGAGGGACGTTTTATCAAGCACATTTACCAAAGCCCATTTAACCTGTTTGTTTTGTTCAGGTGCATGACCAGGTGTGAGGTTCACTGGAAGTTTCACTTTCCATACCTCATTGGCCCTACAAAGCAAGTCAGGAGTGATTTGTGCACATTTTCTGTTGCTTTCTTTTTAGAAATAGGGAAGTTATTTGCTCAAAAAAAAAATGCTGTGGTTTGTTGTTTTGTTTTTGTTTGTGTTGGTTTTTTTTTTTACAGAAAGAGCTGCTCATTTTGGTATGGGTGAGAAGATGTACTCTGGGATTATTTTCTTGAAATCTCTGGTTTTGTTTCTTTTGCACTCTGACTTGGAGAAGGACAGTAACACCTCAGACATCCTGTCCTTCCATACCAACAAAATACGTCCCAGGTGAAAACTGTCTCAAGTGCATATTACAATGGATAAAGGAATTTCAGTGAAAAATCCTAGGTGATTATACCCTGATTTCTGCAAAGGATTTTAAAAATGTGAACAGCATTCCCTGGCAATATGAAGTCTCGACTTGATGGAGGCTTGGCAAAAAGCCTGTGCTGAAGGAGCACGGAGTATATTACATAGGGAGTGACAAGCCTGATAGGCAGGGGGGTTGTGCAGTTGAGAGGGGCTCCCTGTGTTGGTGGAGCTGTGGATTTCATCCGGGAGCGATAATGGAAGCACTTGCTGGAGCTGCTGATTAACACAGATGGTTTGATGTTATTTAGATGATGAGGTTCTCTTAATATTCTCAATCAACTAGAATTAACAAGGATTTTGCACATAAGTATTGGAGATAAAAGTTTTTATTTTGTGCCAACCTTAACAATCTCTTTAAATATAGAACTAGAGAAAAAAATATTACCTGCACATTTAATTATATCACGCAGATATCGTGTCTATAAATATCTATTGATTTGCACTAATTTTGTATCATTCATTGTACCTTAAGTTGTTCTGTCCTCATTGTTCTCATAGCAAAACTATTAAAAATATATTTATAGAACTACTTACTTGTAAGTAAAATATTGAGGCCCAACACTAGACAGTCTTTGAAATAAGCCATGTTAGTATCCTACATACATGTAGAGTACATACATTTAGAGTAGGAGAATCACATTTTCTTCTGTTTTTTTTTTCTTATTTTAATACCAAAGACTATTGTAATACAGGAAAATTATTTTTGTTCATATTGAGGGCTGAACCGTTTGAGCAGAAAATTTTCACATTTGTGTCTACAAGCCATGCTGAAATATAGGTTGAGGGAACTGAATCTTATTTCCAGCTGCCTGCCCATATGGAGATGTTTTTCCTCAAGCACAGAGAAATCTGGTTCAGTCCCGTAAATAAATAACCCAGGATTTGGTGAAATCAGCTACCTAGTTAGTAAACAAAAATAAGTGTCATGACTAAGAATGGCTTCAAAGTGCTATATACTGGGTGGTTAACTTCCCATGAAGGTAATCTTGTTTCTTGCAGATGAGGGTTATTTAAGTGGTGCATCTTCTGCAGTAACTTCAGCTATGTGTATTTTCTTCTGCTTGAAGAAGCCCCTAATATCTTATACTAAAATATTAGCATTATTCTACAGTGTTGTGTGACAAGTTGTCTGTAAAAAGAGTGTGAGAAGCGTTTTTAGCTTGTACTTGTGACTGAAGGTACCGGTTGTTTTGCATGTTAAACCTGTACATGTAAATTTTGACGCTAATTATTAAAACTATTGCGACGACAGTCATAGAAAGATGAAAATAAATTATTGGAGGTTGCAGTGTACACTAACAGGCTATAGGTTGCTTTTCTGCCCCATACTTTGGAGTTGTATGTTTGAGATATTAGCAAATGGATGAAGGGTGTTTTCTGAGTCATTTGTAAGTCATTACAGTAGAGTCAAACTGTCTCTTACTGGGAATCCTAGTCGTTGTCCTGCTGGGTAGCAGCTGACTGCATTAGAAGCCAAAGGAACCCACTGTCTTGATGGTTGAGACTTAAGTGTCTCAATGGCTGAGGCCATTCAGCTCTCGATTGAGTTCACTCCCACTTGCAAGTAAGATGATGGATCCGAATTGAGCACTAAAAAAAGCATTTAACTACCCTACAGCGTTTAACTACCCTGTAGCACCGTCCTTTCCTTTCTGAATGGCGAGTCCCAGCTGTGCTGGAGGGGTGAGGGTGAGCACTTGGCCAGCAGCACACTTCACAGCGGGGTGGGGAGAAATAAAGCCGGAGGGAGGGCTGAGCTCCCCTGCAGCGATTGTCGGTAGAAACATGTCCCCGCCAGATAGAGTTTAGGAGACAGTAGATTAGGGCATGCCCCTGTAGTCTACGTGTACCCTGCGTGCGTCCACTGAGTTGAGGTTCTTCCCTCCGCAGGGATTTGCACATTTACTTGCACCTTCTGCGGCCGTAGTGCCCGCAGCCTGCTGAATGAGCAGCTCCAAGCCCGCTCAGCTGGGAGCGGGAGTTTCAGTCTTTATACGCGGGGAAGCCGGGAGAGGGAGGAAGCGTGTGCCTTGAGTTCGCTTTTTCATCCGGCAGGTTCCGAGGTTGGCTGCGCTGCACAGAGACGCGTGCATGAAGGAGGCTGCGCTGTAAATTCAATTGAAGCGATAATATTCGTGGCTAAGCCAACAGTAGTCTCAGCCTTTCGCTGCCCTTATAGCTCTCTGAGGGGTCAGGCTGTGGTTTGCTTTGCATGGTGCACTAGTTCTGCCTTTCCCATTTCTTGGCATCATCAAATAAGGGACCGAATTGACGTTTACCATGGCAGTCACCCTGTAGTAATACAGTACGTGTAATAGGTACCCGTGTTTCTTGCTCATTTTGGCTTCCCTGGCTTCATTCTCACTGCATTCTTCAAGGAAAAAGGTTATAGGAACGGTAACGCTTGTGTGCACCCTGGCTCTTTCTCCTAACTAGGAATAAAAGTGGTCCTGCCAAGGTCGAAGAAGAAGGTAAGTCGTTGGGACACCAGCACTGTAAGACACTAGCTGAGTTTAAGTGCTTTGCATTAACTGCATCAGGGGTTTTTAAATGTTAAATGGAAAGTGGTCTAAATAGAAACCAGAGGATGAGGGCAATCACGGCTGTTTTGTTGGGACAGTGGAGAGAGATGAGCATGTGTGAGGCTAACTCCTGAAAAGCCCCTCCTTGGTGAATGACAATGGCAAGACAAAAACAAAAAGGTGGTCTCATAGCTCAGGCTGGCAAGTGCAGGGAACAAAAGGCCTGGCCACCAACAGCTGCTGCCTCCGGCATCTCCCTAGCTCTTCAAATGACTGGTCCCCATCCCTCTGTCCCGCTGTGCTCCCTGGGGGACTCGGGGGAGAGGGAGGAGGTTAACCACTGAGGGAAGGGAAAAAGCACCTAGGAGCTTACTGAATTGAAGATAATGCTGCAAACAAATATTGATCAGTGCCAAACTGTCCATTAAAGAAGAGAGGTCATTCACTGAGGGAGCCCTAACTTGTTACCTCCTTCAGAAAGCTGCTTCTCGGAGTCTCCACTCCCCTACGTGCCTCCACGGCAAATGCTGGTGATCATTTTACCCCTATCGACACAGTCACCATCACTTATGTTTCCCTTTCTCACTTCACACATGCATACCCCCTTGCAACCTTCTCCTGTCTGGTTCTCCTTAAAGTATATAGCGCAGACCCTCAGGTGCACAGGGGATGTCAGGAGACTAGGTCTTTGCTCTTTGCTTTCCTTCTTTTTTGATGTCATGTAAAACACATCCAGATTTTCAGTGGGACCAGCAACTGTCTGTGATTTTGTGGTATTTGTCTCAAGCTTTAGAAAGGCTTCATCTCCACCAGTGAATGCCTTTTCTGAAGCTCCAGTGCCCTGAAGGTGCCTGGGTTGGGTGTTTGGCAGCTGGGCGTATGTGGGAGCACCAGAGGAGAGCATCACAGCACCTCCACTTGTCCTACAGAGAGATGTGAGTGGCTCTATTCCATCTCTATCCCCAGCTGATCACAGCAGCTCTCGATGTAGGGATTGCCCTGGAAACCGCAGCTTAGCTTCATTTCAGCTGTGGCAAACCAGGCTTAAATTCACAGGACTAACTTCTGGCCATCCCAGCAGTTTAGTACTGTTGCATGCCATAGTGTAAGAATGCCACATGGTCCTGCAAGCTGTGGTATTACAAATCTGCAAAGTAGCAGTGAGAAAATGGAGTTTCGCCTCCTGTGACTGCAGGGACTTGGGCAGTGCCAGTAGGAGACGCCTTAGTCTTTAGCAGAAACGCAGTAGCATAGAAAATGTCCTCTATCAAGAAAGGGGAAAGGGATGAATTCTTGGATTATACTCACCCAAAAATGCAATTCACAGATAAACCCTGAGGTGAAATCAAGCTTTGGAGACCCTCCTCCCCCAGGAGAAAGATCCAAGTCTATCCTTTGGCTTAATCTAAGCGGTGTTCCCTCTGAAGCCAAAGGGCTCCACATGGTTTGGAGGACGCTGGCCTGGCATGGTGAGAAGTCTCGCCTTGCCGTGAGTGACCCCACCACAGTGGCCAGGGCAGCCCCACAGCCCACTGGTGTGGCCAGCTGAGGAATTACCTGTATTGATTCTCTAATAGCTGTCAAGGTGCAGGGAAAGACTACTCTGACACCAGCTCAGAGCTCTTAACTGAGTGGAAGCATAAACGCTCCATTAAAGGTTTCATTCA